GCTCCTGCCGGCGGAAGACGATCCGTCGTGGGGTCCCCACCGCCTGGCGCTGCTCGTCCCCTTCCGGGAGCGCTTCGAGGAGCTGCTGGCCTTCGTGCCCTACATGCACCGCTTCCTGAGCAAGAAGAGGATCCGCCATCGCATCTTCATCCTCAACCAGGTGGATCATTTCAGGTAGCGTCTCTCCTCTGCCCGCAGCAAGCAAAGGGAGCGACGGGGCCCTTCTCTGAAACTCTGTCCACGCTGAAAGGGCCTCCTACTCGCCTCTGACAGCGTGGGGAAACGTAGGGCCCGGACAGCAGGCAGTCATGATGTTCTGCCCAGATTCACTCACTCCAGAGCTTATAGAAGGACAAAGCAGTATTTTGCTTCTCTCTGGGGGTAGAGAATTATCTACCCCCAGATATTACAGCTTTCTCCCCACTGTTGCAGGGCCATGGCCACAAACATCTAGGGGCCCTGAAATTCAAAGGAATAACCGTATGGTGTTTGGAAATGCAGTTGCTGACCCCTTGCTCACTGTCCAGTACCTGCCTGCAGTGCCGGTGGGTGCTGTGGAGCTCCCCAGCTGGCCCCGGGCGGGACAGGGCTCGCTGTAGCCTCTTGGGGTATTCAGTGCCCAAACCCTTGTGCATTTTTTTTTTTTAGGGAGAAGCAGGGGTGCAGTTTCAGGATGGGCAGCAGTGGCACCTGGTGCTGTGAAGGCAGGGAACGCCGTGTCTGCGTGTCCCCGTTTGGGGACCAGTCGAACTTTTAGCATTGAGGAGCACAGGAGACAGATGTGAAGGGTTGGCAGCTGCTGGACGTGGCACTGAGAGTCCCTGGTCCTGCGGCAGGTTTAACAGGGCGTCCCTGATCAACGTGGGCTTCCTGGAGAGCGGCAACGACACGGACTACATTGCGATGCACGACGTCGATCTCCTGCCCCTCAACGAGCAGCTGGACTACAGCTTCCCTGAGGCAGGGCCCTTCCACGTGGCATCCCCAGAGCTGCACCCGCTCTACCACTATAAGACCTACGTGGGCGGCATCCTGCTGCTCACCAAGCAACACTACGAGATGGTGAGCGCGTGGGTGGGACATCCCAGCCAGCCTGGGGCTGGGGCCATGACTTTGCCTTGGTGAACCGTTGTACATTTTGTGCTCCACGCTTGGGAAGGAGTGAAAGGAGTCAAAATGGTTTGGGGACAGAGGATGCTGCCTGAATGGGGCAGGGGCAGGAGAGGGAAGGCTGTGCTGGTGCTCAGGGCTTGTGATGCTGGTGTCTGCTCTTCTGTGGCGTGTGGAGTTGTGCTGGACCAGAGCTCGGCCGGTACAATGCCCCTCTCATTTCAGTGCAATGGCATGTCCAACCGCTTCTGGGGCTGGGGACGGGAGGACGATGAGTTTTATCGACGTATCAAAGGAGCCGGTCTCCAGGTGAGGGGTGCTCCACGACTTCTTAGGTTGAAATTGCCCTTCTTGTCTCCCACCTGGCCCCTGGCTGTAGCCGTCCAGGCCAGGACCTGGGGAAGGCAGCCCTTCTGCGCTCCCCATTTCCAGTAGCAGGCACAGCAGGTTTTCCAGTAGCCTTACAGAAGCTTTGCTCACCTTTCAGGTTCGCCGTCCCTCTGGAATCACGACTGGATATGAGACTTTCCAGCACCTGCATGACCCAGCCTGGAGGAAGAGAGACCAGAAGCGTATCGCGGCGCAGAAGCAGGTGAGAGCTCCATCTGGTTGAGGAGAACCACTGGAGATGTGGGTTGTGATCACCACATGCTCTAAGCCCTCCTTGCTCGTGTCCTCTGCTGCCAGCTCTGCACTCTCTCCTGGGCACTAGGTGCTTCCTCCTCCACTGGAAGCCAGTGTGGGCTGAATGGTCTTTCTCTTCCTCAGGAACAGTTTAAGGTGGATCGAGAGGGAGGTCTGAACAACGTGAGGTACCGAATCGAGTCACGGACAGCTCTGAGTGTGGCAGGAGCCCCTTGCACCGTCCTTAATATCTTGCTGGACTGTGACACAAGTGAGACCCCTTGGTGCACATTTGGCTGAGCCATCTCCTGTGTGCCAGTCGTGTGCGCTGTGCTTGCGCCAAGATGCCGGGGCTGCTGCCGAGCTGCTTGGAGCAGGCAGGACTTTTGCAGTGGATGAGCATGGCGGTGCTGGCGAGATGCAGAGGAACAGAAAAGGCTGAGAACGGGGCTTTGGTAGGACCAACAAAAGAGGCTGAGAGCAGGACTCCGTGGCGTCGTTGCAGATGCTGGTGCTGTCTCCCAGGGCAGGTGCAGGAGATGGTTTTCCTGCATTGGACATGGCTGAGCTGCCACTCAGTTCAGAGGACAATAAAAAACTATCAGGGCACCTGTGAGTTGTGAATGCCCTGGGCCGCGTTGCACTACTCCTTTTTCCTGCTCCCTTCACCTCACTCTCTTCAATCCGTTTCTGACTTGGCCCCACCTGTGCTGTCTGGACAGGCAACCTGCTTTGGTTCGGAGGCCAAGCTGGTCTGAAATGGGCTCCGAGTGAGATGGTGCCTGTGTTTCAGCTGCCAGGTACCCCCAGGGCTGTGCTGTGGTCGCTTCATTGCAGGACGCAGTTGTGGTTGAGCCATGCCCCGAGTCCCAGCATCCGCAGCTCTGTTGCATGTCAGCAGTTGAGGTAGCACAGGACTTCTCTCTGTGGAGAAAGGAGGAGAATTCTGGCTCAGCTGTGCCTTCCGTGCCTGCCTTCTGTGGCATGTGCTGCCTCAGCCCTTTCTTGCGGGGTTGGAGAATCTGATGTCCCCGTAGCAGCACTGAGGGGAACTGGCATCTGTTCTGGCCCTGTATGAAGTGTCTTAGGAAGGACTGGCTGCCAGGCTCACCACAGCACTGGTGGAGCTGGAGTGATGGTGTGAGTGAAGTGCAGGGATTAGGACAGTCCCCCCTAACCAACCTGAGACAAGGGAACAAGAGCTTCCTCTGCTGTGGGCTCAAGCCCCTCACTGTGGATGTGGGTTGTCTGGGTCAGTGAATGCCTTGGGGAAGGTGCCCGGGCAAAGGGCTGTGTCAGCCTTGGAGTGCTGGTGAGCAGGAAGTGACGGGGCAGAGGCTCCCTGGAAACCCTGGGTCCCCAGGAGCCCAACCTGTGCAGTGATTTGGGGACCTGCTGCTGTCAGAGCAAGAGCAGCCTGTGGGAGGCAGCAGAAGCACTGATGCTGTGTGCTGGGAGAGCGCCCGGGACAGGAGACAGGAGGAGGATAAGGAGGCTCTGGCTGCTGGGAACGTGCCTGGGTGCTCTGCAGCCCTGGACCCAGGAGGTGGGGAAGCTGGGAAGGTCCCAATGGGTGAGGAAAGGCACTGGGGGCTGCCCGTTGTTTGGGTTTGGTAGAAATCAGCCACACCAGCACCTTTTGCTGGGAGGCAGGATGTGTAGATCCGGACAGGAGGGGCAGGTGGGCCGCGTGTCTGTGCGTGCTGGGAGCAAAAGGTGCTGTGACCTCTAGGATGCTGTTACTCATGCTGATCTGCTAAGGGGTGGCAGAAATGCCCGCCGGCTCTGAAGGCAGACCCCTGCCAGCACTGAGCTCCTCTCCTCCATCACCAGCCTGGCCTGGCTGCCTGCTTGGGCTGCTGGGTGAAATGGTGCTGTGCTGCTCCAGAGCGGAGAGTGCTGGGGCTGGCTCATGGATAGTGCCACGTGTGGGACTGCACTGTGCTGGCTCTGGGGTCTTGGCATGTGTTTTGGATGCTGCTGCCTCCTCAGGCTGGGCAAATGCAGCCAGACAGCCAGTACCCCTCCGTTCAGCCCCGTCACCAGCACTGGCACCAGGCCCTCCGTGTTTCCTGGCCCCCTTCTGTCCTCATACCCCTTCTTGGCAGTTCCCGGAGTGGTTGCTTTCCTGGGTGCCTGCAGACGTCCCCAGACAGAAGCCGTTGCTGTCCTGGGAAGCCAAGCGGCCCTGGGGACATGGCACCTCCGGGGAGGAGCGCTGGGATTAGGGAAGCAAAAGCATCAGAGCCAAGTGTGGGGGTTGTGTACTGCGTAGGGGCAATGCGGTGGGGCATCTGGAGAGATCTGGAACCGTCTGCTCTCCATGCTGCTCTGGAGCTGGGTGAGGAGTCTGGAGCCCTGCGGACTGGGATGCGAGGGTGGCTGCCTCCTGAGGAAGGAGTCGAGGTGGTGTTGCAGGGCAGTGAGGATCTGGCCATGCTGCTTTGCATCATCCAAGGCACAGGCAGGCCCAGCGCGTGCTCCTCCCCAGCTCAGGGACTGTCCTCGCCCCAGGGCGATGTGGGGAAGTGCTGCCCAAGAGCTCCCAATAGCTTCTCCAGCCCAGCAGCCCCATAGCAGCACTGGTATCTGGCACGAATATTGCAGGTGGGCTTGGGCACACAGTGGTCCGAGGTGTCCAGAGATGTTCCCAGGTCCTGTCATGTCCCTCGCTGTGGTTGGCCAGGGGGACATGTCAGCCCAGCAGTCCCGCTCCTGTCTCTCCATCGCACAAGTTTTGGGATTGGCCACTTGTATGCCAGCCACTTACCGGAGCCCGAACCGCAGCCAGGGCCGGCGGAGGCAGATCAAAGTATTTGTCTGCGCTGTTCGAAATAGATGACACAGTTTTGGGCAGGTTTCATAAAGACGTAGATGTGCAGAAACACAGAGCATATGTGCACCTCGCACTTCGCTCAGCGCTAAAGGCTCCTCTCCCGCTGCCTGGCAGCTAATTCTCAGCTCCGCTCGCAGCCCCCTCATCCTCTGGTTGCTTTTGTGAAAAAGGCACCGTGCTGGAGACGCGGCTTCCTTTTATAGCCCTGAATGTGACTTGGAGGTCGCTCGGCTCTGTTCCCCACCCCACGCACTTCGTTATTAGCAACGGCCCAGCAGGATGGCACAAGGTTTTTCCCCATCGCCTTTCTGCAGGTGGGTAATACCCTGCCTGCTGTCCCGGGAGCCCCACAGAGCTGAGCCGGAGGTCTCCCAGCGTTCCTATGCTCTCAGCAACCCTGAGGAAGGGGTCAGGATGCTCGGGGGCAGAGAGAGCCCATGGAGTCCAAGCCCTGCCCCTTTGCAACCCTCCTTCTGGGGCCCAAATTGCTGCCAGCGAGGCCGTGCGGAGGCTGCAGCGGGCACTGCCATCAGCTGCCTTTTATTGCCGGGTTGTTTTAAACCGGGCGGTGCCCAGAGCATTTTGCTGGCAGCTGCATGAAATTCCTGTAGCATCATGATGGCAGGGGGACCAGGGAGCTGAGACGAGCAGAGAGAGGGGGCTGGAGAAAAGCTGACTGAAGACAAGAGCGTTTCTGCCCAGGCAACAGGGCATCCCTGGCCGCTGGTGTGTCCTGGGCAGGGCTGAGGTCTGGGGCCCTGCGGGAGCTGCCATCCCAGGGAGATGTGCTCGGGAAGTGCAGCCCGCAGCAGAGATGTGGCAGCAGGAAACGGGGCAGACAGGAGGGAGGGGTGCGGCTGTGAGCAGCACCCACTGAAGTCAGCCTGGCATCACCGCGACCTGCCCTGAGGCCCAGCGGGATGTCTGTCCCTCTGGCAGGGACCCAGCGGCCCACGGGCTGCTGGGGGTGCCCCATGCGTGACTGAGCTCTGGGCAGAGGGCCAGGGCATCGCAGGTGCATTCCTGGTGCCAGTAGGTTGGGAAACGGCACTGTTGAGAAGGGCCCCCATATTCAAGTGTGTGTGCTGCTGCTCCGGTGTGCAGCTGGGTGGTGAACAGGAGCCGCGGGGAACAGGGAGATCAGGGATGGAGGGAGCGGTTGCGTGCCTTGGCACCGCACCGAGGATAATGTGAGCATGTGAGCCTGGCGAGCAGGGACTGGGGACAGTGTGTGTGTGTGGGTGAGCACTGGCAGCACAGCTTGAGGACTCTGGTGTGCGGTGGGGGGAGCTGGCAGCGAGTGGAGCCCCAATGTGCGAACA